CCCCCCCCCCCCCCCCAAAAAAAAGCTTTATTTGGATGCATGCAGTCTGATATGTTAGACATGTATCTGTCTTAATATAAATGTAAAGTTATGGATTAATCCGCTTACTTTCCTGTAGGGCTAAAAGCCACCGAGGTGACGGCCTCTGTGTGGCCCTCCAAAGAGCTGGTGCATCGAGCCACGGCCCGAACACGAAACACGGCCTGCGGCTGGTACACAACCGGCAGCACCTGCTCAGTCTCCAGGCCCAACTCCTGAACACAGGAGCCCAGGGACGACACCACCTCTGCATCTTTCACAAAGAACAGGTACGGCACAGGTTCCTCCTGTAGAAAGACAAAAGATTGGGGTTATGATACAATAAAATCTGCAGTAAATCATAACCGGCATCATTCATAACCAGCCTCAACTTATCCAAAGTAATGTAATAATTTTTTAAGCAAAGCTTATGTACAGTATACATGTTATTGAACAAGGCTTGCTGATGTAATGGGTAATTGACAAATAACTAGGACATCAGATTTTTTCAACATCTAGACTATAGGTTGAAGTGTGGAAATGCGGAAAAATGTGAAAAAATGTGAAAAAATGGTTCATTGTATATTACATGTTGGTCATCATTTCATTTCGCTCAAATAGTTCTAAGAAACTATATTCCAAGTAACCAATTAATATATTAAAACAAAAAGTTTTAAACAATATGTAATAAAACATAATTAAAAGTATTACTCAACTACACAAAATTAGAATTTTTTAAAAATAGTTTTAGATATAGTATATCACTGCTGTCTTGTCATGTCAACTACCCAAATATATATTCTAACATATACTTTATTACACATGAGGATATATAAGTGATTTTATACTTTAAAGATCGCAATAAACTAAGTATACATTACCGTTTGGGGTTTGTTTTAAAGAATGTAATACTTTTATTCAGAACAGGTGCATTACAGATCAAAACTGACAGTAAAGACATTTATAATGTTGCAAAAGATTCCGAATTCAGATAAATGCTATCTGAAAGTCCTGAAAATTTGTATCACAACTGTTTCCAACATTGATAATAACAAGAAATGTTTCTTGAGCAGCAAATCAGCATATTAGAATGATTTCTGAAGGATCATGTGACTCTGAAGACTGGAGTAATGACTGCTGAAAATTCAGCTTTGCATCACAGGAATACATTACATTTTAAAATATATTCAAATACAAAACAGGTATCTCTAAAACTGTAATAACATTTCACAATATCACTGTTTTAATGATCAAATAAACGAAGGCACAAAGGTGAGCACAAAGAGACTTCTTTAAAAAATCTTGCAAAGCCCAAATTTTATACGGTATATCTCTAACACAGTATTTCAGACCTATCATAAAAATATATTAAAAGGGTTTTAACAGAATAGATCATAGGTACTATAGTCCAATACATCATGGGCTCACAGCTGGATGAAACACATACTGCAGTCCATCATTCCTACCTTCTGTAACAGTGCATTGCAGACCAGCTGCAGTTTTTCCGGACTGATGTCCAGCGGCACATCGAAGGGGGATCCGAGTACCTCTCCGGTCTCATCCTGGAGCTGGATCAACACACGCTCCACGTCCACGCTCATCCTTCCCTTTAAAAGAGAAACACACTGGAATATACACTATCAGCACGTGAGGCACGGAAGTATAGAACAAGCTATTTTTTTTTATGAAATATCAGTAACAGTAAAATAATTAAACAACAGTAAGATTTTATAAATTCAGGGAATAAACAAGAATTCCATATGTAAGTTATACAGAATACGAGAATGTCCACATAGTAAAACCGAGATACCTGTCGTTATTGATCACAGCACACTCCACGCCCGCAACGTAAAGTATTTTGGACGCACGCAAAACGCGTGAGCGTGACATCATAACCGCGCGCGCCTAGTGTGACTACTCCAGTCGGAAAAGACGCAGACGCTCAGTCGACAAAACAATGGGTGGCAAAAATAAACAGAGAACGAAAGGAAATGTTCGGGTAAGACGAATGAAAGTTATTCGATTGTTAACATTTTCCAGCTACAAGCCAAATCGGTGAAATAATAGCAAGAGTCATTGTAGTTGACTCTTAACTGGTCAGTGTTGTAAACTATGTAAACAGCATGACAGCTCACATGGATAGCTCATTACAACAAAGTGCTATTATGTACTTCCTGTCACTTATTGTTTTGTATTGTAAAGTGTTTATGAAACATGATACATGACAAGCGTTTTTTTTAATCGTGTCTGTTATGTAAACCTGTGTTCTTAGAGTCCTGACGTCACGTGTTTGTAGTGTAATCAGACAGAAAGTGCATTAGTTGAGCAACCGTATATGATGGTGATATACCATAGGCATATAATCATCTAGGTAGGAAATGGCGATGACAGTGTAATGACAGCCCTGTGTGTTCTGCCTTTCAGCCATCCAGCAGTGGCAGAGCTGCTGATCTGTTGGCCAGGGAAAGTGGCGTTGTACCCGGGTTTGTGGGATTCGGTGTCTCCACCTCCAGTGATCCAGGATATGTACCTGCAGTACAGGGGGCAGAGGAGATAGACAATCAGGTTGATGCAGACTTCCGCATGGTTCTACGAAAGCTGTCCAAGAGAGATGCAGTCACAAAATTGAAGGTATAATTTGTAGTGAATGATTGGAGTTCAGTGTTGCCTAGTGGGCAAATGTTTGAAAAGGGATGAGTAAAATTTAAAAAATGTGGCTCACTAAGCACTATCACGGTCATTCTTGATCTCCACACATATTTTCTTAAAGGGTTAGTTCACCCAAAAATGAAAATTCTCTCATTAATTACTCACCCTCATGTCATTCCAAACCCGTAAACCTTCGTTCATCTTTGGAACACAAATGAAGATATTTCTGATGAAATCCGAGATCTTTCTGACCCTGCATAGACAGCAACGCAACTACCACGTTCAAGGCACAGAAACGTAGTAAGGACATCTTTAAAGTAGTCCGTGTGACATCAGTGGTTCAACTGTAATTTTTTTGAAGCTACAAGAATACTTTTTGTGCCCAAAGAAAAAAACAAACAACTTTATTCAGCAATTCTTCTCTTCCCTTTCACTGTCCGCCACCATTCACGAGAGTACCGCGACACATACGTGTGGTGCTGCTGATGTAGAACACGCATGCGCTGTGCCTTGTTTACAAGCAGACGAATGCACACGCATGCAGCATGATATTCTTGTATTTTCATAAAATTAATGTTGAACCACTGATGTTTCTGTGCCTTAGACGTGGTAGTTCCCTTTCTGTATATGCAAGGTCAGAAAGCTCTCAGATTTCACCAAAAATATCTTAATTTGTGTTCCGAAGATGAACAAAGGTCTTACATAAATTTCTATAAAACATTTAATTTGACTGACTCAGTAATTGAATGGCTCATAAAAACTGGTGGATGTGTATTTCAGGCAGTACAAGAGTTTGGAGCAATGTGTCAAGAGCGACAGCCTGATGTTGTAAAAGGTGTCCTCCCATATTGGCCTCGGATATACTGCCGAATATCAATGGTAAGAGAAGAATGGTAACCCTATCATTATTTGTATATTATTTATTTACAATTTTATTTATATATTTATAATTTTATCTTTTATATAATTGTATTTCATTTTTATATTTGTGTTAATGAATATTTTTCAGTATAACATTTTATTCAAATTGTAATATTGATTATAGAATTTTAAATGAAAGATTTTGTTAAATTAGAAACATGCAAAACTAAGTTTTCTCTAGTGGTCTCAGATATTTGGACCCTACTTTATATAGAGGCAGCAAGAAGATGTAAATGTTTAATTTAGTTGAATTTGAATGTGCTTAATTTACTTGTGTATCTGTGTAAATAAAAGGTTGGCTGAACAAGTTTATTTAATATATAATATGTTTTCATCAGGACCATGATCGCCGTGTGCGAGAGGCCACACAGCAGGCCTTTGAGCAGCTGGTTTTAAAAGTGAAGAGGAATCTGGCCCCCTACCTGAAGAGCATCATGGGTCACTGGCTCATCTCTCAGTGTGACACATACTCTCCTGCTGCCTCGGCTGCCAGCGCTGCTTTCCAGGCCGCATTTCCCCTGAATAAACAGCCAGAGGCCATCAGCTTCTGTAAAGATGAAGTCCTGAATGTAAGATAAGCGTATCTTATGCTCATAGTGAGAAAAAATGACATACTGCAGAATTTTTGATTGCATGTTGTCATTGCTCAGCTGAAGTTTTTTTTTATATATTCTCTGTGATTCTCAGGTTCTCCAAGACAATTTGCTGAAAGAAACAGCTGACACTCTCAGTGACCCTCAGTAAGTGTATATGTACAATAATAACCTGATGGTGACATTAGTTTTGCTTTACTTGGTCATATTGTTATATTTTAAGAAAAATGCAGTGTGTGCCTGATTAATAATAGTAGTAGTTTATGTGTAGAATATATTTAATTTTGTTTTATTTTTGTGCAGCAGTGTGCCAGAGGAGGAACGAGAGGCTAAGTTTATCCGTCTGTTGACCAGCTCTTTGCTGGCTCTGAAGAGACTGCTGAGCATTTTACCTGAGCAGGACAGAGAGCTTCTAAAGGAGCGACTGACACAACTCATCACACAGGGCAAATTCTGGAAGTACAGCAAACACAAGACCCCACAGGTGAGCTGGGATCCTAACCAGACATGACCATGACAAGCAACTTTTCTGGTTTTTATTTATGATACTTTACACCTACATTAAAATCTCTTTGTACTATTTGTTAGATGTTTTCTTGATTAGTAGGTGTTATAATATGATTCAGAGTTGTCTGTTTTATTTTCTAGATTCGAGGAGCGTTTTTTGAGCTGATTGCCACCATGTGTGCACACACACCCCAGCTGATCCAGGCAGAAGCGGCCCGAGCTTGTTCTGCTGTGCTGCTGTCAATTGACGACACAGACCCAGTGGTGCTACCCCCTCTGTGGGAGGCGGTCCTCCATATTCTGTCCTGCGTTGATGTGAGACTGATTATTTTTTGACACAGATATAATAATAAAATATATTACCTTTTAATAGTTTGGGGTCAGTAAGTTTTTTTTTTTTTTTATTATTTTGAAAACATTCAAAATCTTACTAACCCCAAACTTAAATAGTAGTGTAAATGAATATTTATATAAATATTTATTTTAAATAATAAACAACAAAAATCTCACATTTTCCAGTTCTGCCATAACCTGTATTCATTCCAAAATTAAAGTGTTAATCTTATGCAATCTAATAGAAATGTTATTGCACCTTATTGTTGTCTGTAGTCAGCGGTGATTCAAAATCACTGTCATCATATAAATTATGTGCAGAACTGCTGGACGCATGTCAGTGCCAGGAAAGGCGTGATGCCGAAGCTCTGGGTGCTTCTTAAAGAAGGAGGTCGAGGTCTTGCAACATCTCTGCATCCAAACATGCTCCCGTTTATAAGCAAACTGCCAGCAGAGGTCACACAGCCCAACCTGGAGTTCTCTAGGACATTCCTCACATCTGTCATACAGGGGTAAATAATGTCCTATTCATATAGTCATTCATCCTATAGTCATGTACCTGCAGCAGAATTGCCTTTTTAAATTTGCGATATTGCAAATGTCGCAAATATCGTAATATATTAACCAATCGAAACAAACTTTTCTTCAATTTGCTACTAAATCACACATAATCACTGAAGTTGGTCAGTTCCATATACTAGAAGAATAATGGTACATTTAATAAGAATGGAATATATAATTTTCTATATTCTATATTTTCTATATAAAAATGAGATTTTGCACCTGTTACTATTGTTAATAAAAGTAAAATTTGTATATATATACAATAATGTACCATTATTCTTCTAGTATATGGAACTGACCAATTTCAGTGATTGTGTGATTTAGTAGCAAATTGAAGAAAAGTTTGTTTTTCAGTGCACTTTGTTACTTTTCTTACTTCATACTAGGGCTGCACGATAAATCGCATGCGATATTTAACGCGCATCTTATCAGTGAAGCCGGTTCTGTAATCAGCGGTAAATCTCCATCACCTGCGGGCTTTCACATTGAGCAGCATTAACTACACAGAGCTGTTGTTCACTGACGAGTTGCGCAAAACCACGTACATATTCGCGCGATTTTTTGCGCAGCTCATCAGTGAACAACGGTTCTGTGTAGTTAATGCTGCTCAATGTGAAAGCACGCACGTGATGGAGATTTACCGCTGATTACAGAACCGGCTTTCTGACAAGTTGCGCGTTAAATATCGCATGCGATTTATCGTGCAGCCCTACTTCATACACAAAAAAAGTGTAAAAGTCTGACAAAATCTGATTTCTTGATGATTTGATATTATATAATAGTGATTTTATAATTTCAAAATATAGAGAAAAAGTAGAAATGAATGACTAATAAGCCAATACGTGCTCCTCTGCTGCAGTCTACTGGTTATAATTGTGATTTGATGTATTTTTATTTTTATTTTACATAAGTGTTCGTTTACCACAAAGTATATTTTGGTCATCCCATTAAAAATAACATTCAAACTGGATAATTTTGGAGCGTTAAAGTGCTGGAAATAGTTGAAAGTCATTGAAAAGTGCTTGAATTTCTCTCTCAAAAGGTTGTACAAACCATGAAATGAATGATGTAATGCATTCGACTATTTCTACCACAACACCATGATTACAGTTAGTGTTAACGCTTCCGGTTTCCGGACGTTCCAGTGCTGTTTATAACCGAGAATTCTGTGCAGAATTTGAATGATTCTCACTTGATCTAGCAGCAACCTTATCATTGTGTGGCGAATTCAAACGCTTCTCTCTGGATCTCGCAGCACTGTTGCATCTGTGCAGTAACAGAGTCGCGAAATCAACTTTGGCTCCCGAGTAAAGCTGTTCTGAGCTCGGACAAGTTTGTTTGCGTAGCGGTCCGAGCTGATAAACGGTCCACGCTGCGCAGCTGAAACGTAGCGCAGTTTAGTTTCGCTTTCGTTTCGTTTGCCGTTTAATGTTTCTCAAATGCAACAGAAATGGCAGCGCTTATGAGTTGGACAATGCGGTGGTCGCGCCAGTGCGACCGCTCACAAAAATTAGTCGCACGTCTGGAGCCCTGTATATACTAGGGCTGGGACGATACTCTAATCGTCCGATTCAATACTATCCAGATACTTGTGTGGCGATTCAATATATATTGCGATAATTGAGTATTGTGATTACATAACTATTGCGATTCAATATTACAATTTATTGTGATTGTTGTTTGCTTATTAAAGATTAGACAATGGAAAATACTTGATCATACCCTTAAAGCGAGTGTATACTTCGTATTAACAAAAAAAATCTTTCTGAACTTATATTTCAGGAGCACACACATGCACAGTGTATATTTTAAAGTACCAAAAACCCTGAACTTGCACATAAATAATAATAGTCCAATGCGCAACAAATGAGTAGAATAAATACTCTCTGAAATAAAATAAAGTGCTATGTTGAGCTGTTCCTATAAATAACAATAAATAAAAAAGCTCCTGAAAACTTGACATATTTGAAACTCCAGACTGCAAATAAAATGTGCTACAAACGTCACACTAAACTAATGCTTGGGAGTGTTAAGATTTTTCTGCAAAACAAGAGCTGGTCAACATGCTCTGTGGTGAGGCTGCTTCTCTGTGCAGTCACAATGTCCCCAGCTATAGAGAATACCCGTTCGTACACATAAGTATCGCTTCGCTATCCTGGCAAGTAGAGGATACTCATGATGATGCTCTTTCCACCAGCCCAATGGGCTTTCAGACAGTGGCAGAGAATCAGCTGTTCTGATCTAGCGCTGCTTTTCCTGGCAGTGTGTAAAATCCAAAGTGTTTCCACACTTGGGATTTAAAACGTGAAGGTGCAGAAAGAATTCTCAAAGAGGTTTGATCCTCTGCCTCTGCCATGGTTTTGCTTTCTCGCACCAGCTTGAAACGGATATGACGTCATTTAATACAGATAATAACAAATACATTTCACACTCTGTTGGAATAAAAGCGCTAACTTCTCCCCACCACCTCTTAGGAAAAATAAAATAATTAAATATAACTCGATTCTGAGATAAACCAATCGATTTTTAAATCGTATTAAAAAGAATCGCGATAGTTAGGTGAATTTTTCCCACACCCCTACTATATACTTAATATATTCTATAATAATTATATATGAGGGAAAACATTTGGTACATTTTAATTATATATATATATATATATATAAATTGTACTAAATGTTCCTTCTTATAATAAGTGCACTTATAAAATTTCTTACCCCAGATGTAATAATTTAGTTTTACATAACCATTTTACAGCCTCCCATGACCCTTAGAATTAAACGGGCAGTTTTATGAATTCAAAATGTTGTTTGCATGTAATGTATTGACACTGCATATTAATTCAAAATACATGTGTTTGACTACCAGTCAAATGTTTGAATGATTTTGAATGATTTTTTTGAATTGTTTTTGATTTTTTTCATGTTTTTGAAAAGAAATCTCTTATTCTCAACAAGGCTGCATGTATTTGATCAAAAATACAGTAAAACGGTAATATTGTAAAAAATATTATTACATTTTAAAATGTATTAATATAGAAAATGGTTATTGTAAATTGGAATAGTACCGTTTTACTGTATTTTTGATCAAATACATGTAGCCTTGGTGAGCATAAGAGGCAACTTCTTTAAAAACATTAAAATGAAATCATAATTATTCCAAACTTTTGACTGGTTGTGTATTTTTGCACTTTTTAATTTGTTTTCCTTTATTCTGGCATGTTTGGTCCAGGTTGTCGAGTGATCGTGCTAAGTCCAGTCCCTCAGAGAGTGCGGCCATCATTTTTGCCACAATGGAGTGCCTTCGGTTTATCATCCTGCAGAACGTCGGAGACGAGCAGGAGCAGAGAAACATCCAGAACATGCTGATCTCAGAACAGGTCTGTGGATCACAAGGAAAAGTTCTCTCTAAATCTGCTAATGTCTCATGCATTGAACTCTCTCTTTACAGCTTCTGCCATTGATTGACAGAGCTCTGGGAAACCCATCGCTGCAGACGGGTCCTCTGTTCCCTCAGGTCTCAGATATGCTTCTGTCCTGGGAAAAGCGGGCAGTTGGGAAAGAGGCTCCCACCTTTCAAAGACTGTTGTCAGACTTCTGGGAGGGTCTGGGTCGCTTGTGCACAACTTACGTGGACTGTGAAGAAGCCGAGCGAACCGCCCTGGAGGGTATTGCATCGCTCCTGCAGATTATGCATAACCCGAACAGTGCCAGCAAACAGACTAAGAAGAAAAAAACTGTGAAAATTTGCTTCACGGACAGAGAAGAAAGAGGCCAAGGTGAGGAACCTCCTATGGAATCTCCAGCATTGGAGGAGCAACACTATCCCTTGAGAAATGGACACCTGCTGGATTTGGTGTGCCAGCTGGCGGAGCTCAACATGTTGTACGTGAGCAAACGTGAGTCGGAAAGGCACCTGCGCTTTTTGTCTCAGCTGCTCAGGGTGTTCCCAAGTCCTCAGGTGTTCCAGGTGCTGCTGAGGCCGGAGGAAATGAAGCCTGAAATGGGGCCGGAGCTCAGGCCGCTTGCTGAGAATGCAGCTGTCCACTTTCTCCTGCAAAGAGTGACTATATGGTTAAAACAAGATGACAGGAAGGACACTGACTTCCTGGTGGACATGGTTTTCAGTTCCCTGCAGTGCTGCTGCTCCAGTGATGACAAGACACTGATCCTCAACCACATCAGTGTAAGAGACCCACATGGTTCGGGGGGATTGGGATGCTACAGGGATATATTAAAACGATAAACCACAAGATGCTGTATTTCAGTGTATTTACCACATACAAGGGGTATTATTAGGCATGACACAAAGTAACAACACTAGTATAATAACAGACACCGGTGTTCAGGAAAGCATTATATTTATTACAAATAATAATTATATATTTTTTTCTGAAGTTTTCACAAAAGTGTTGATGATAAATAATATATTGTAATATATAATATAATATAATATAATAACAATTTTTAAAAAATAAATTAATACTTTTATTCAGCAAGGACGCATTATATTGTCCAAAAGTGACAGGAAAAAAAAACGTTTGTAACATTATAAATGTCTTTATTATTCAGAATATGCTTTCTATTCATTAAAGAATCATGAAAAAATGTTTCACAGTTTCCACACAAATATTAGGCAGCACAACTGATTTTAACATTGATGATAATGATAATAAATGTTTCTTGAGCAGCAAATCAGCATATTAGAATGTGACATTGAGGCCTGGAAATTCAGCTTTGTAGTCACAAATAAATTACATTTTAAAATATATTCAGGCAGAAAACAGTTATTTTAAATTGTAATAATATTTCACAACATTACTGTTTTTGATCAAATAAATGCAGTCTTGGTGAGCATGAAAGATTTCTTTCAAAAACATGAAAAGAAAATCTTACCAACCCTGAACCGTTGAACGGTATTGTATATTTTTAATTAAATTTTACTTTTTTCTAACTGTTTTTACTTCACTTCTGTCTATCAACAGACATTTTCTCTCATTTACAAACATGTGATATCAATAATCAGTTATTTGTCTCTTTAAAACAGAGGGATTTGAATTGGAGTGTGACTCTTCAACTTATTGAAAAGGTACCTGTTTTTATTGAGATCTTTTCAGTTAGGTTACATTTAGCTTTACATTTGACCGTGTTTTGTATTGAAGAAATAAGAATTAACCAAATCTTCTCTTGTCACTTTCATGACACCAGGCGTGTGCAGATCCCGTCCGGTTGGAGGTGTTTATTGGCTGGCTAAGGGGTCCTGTGTTAGGGGAGAGGTTGGTGGGTCTGGCAGGAGAGCTGTGTGTGATGGGTCTGCGTGGATCCCCTTCTTCATCATCCCATCATGCACACGGCTGGCCTCTCATCAGCCTCGCTCTGTCACAGCAGCACAATAATGGTAAGTCTTCATGTCATCACTACTCAGAAACTACAACCTGATCTCTCACATATTGCAGTTAAAGACAAAACTGACCTTATTTACTTTCTTAATACAAGACCCTGGATCACAGATTTGAAGGAATAAAATACCAGAATCATTGAAGTCCTTGGTGGAAAAGTTGTGCACAAAAATGGTGAACAAAAGGCTGCATTTATTTGATCAACAATAAACAGTAATATTGTGAAATATTATTGCAATTTAAAATAACTGTTTTGTATTTTCATTTATTTAAAAATGTCACTTATTCCTGTGATGAAAAGCTGAATTTTCAGCAGCCATTACTCCAGTCTTCAATGTCACATGATCCTTCAGAGATAATTTTAATGAGCTGTTTTGACGCTGTATAAACATTTATTTTTATTATCAATGTTGAAAAGATTTTTTTGGGAAACTGATACTTTTTTTTTTAATAGAAAGTACAAAAGAACAGCGTTCATTTGAAATATAAATCTTTGTAACATTATAAATGTCTTTGCTGTCACTTTTGATCAATTTAATGTATTCTTGCTGAAAAAGTATGAATTTCTTCCAACAACAACAACAACAAATCTTACTGACCCCAAAATTTTGAATGGTAGTATATTATGTGTTGCAAATGACATAAGGAGTGGTTCTCTTCAAAGAAAACAATGCTGTTTCACACTTTCTTCTCTCTGCAGATCCTCTCATTGGCAAGGCGTATGTCGAGCAGATCATTGACAAGCTTCACGCCACCCTGTCAGAAGCAAAGGGAATGTCAGACGCTGGGAACATGGAGCCGCTAGTCACTTTCATCTCTGATGTGGCTGCCACCTTCTTTTCTTCGATTAAGGGCTGCCTGCTGCTGGCGTCTGCCGAGGAATTGCTTATGACTGTTTTCCAGCTTTGTGCACAGTACCAAACCATCACTCACCTCTCAGGTACAGACTCCAAATCATCCAAAAGTTCAAACATTTGTCTATGCAGTATGTGGTTCTCAATTTCTCAAATATTACACAACAACAAACAATGTCTCCTCAATTGTGTGTATTGCTTTTAAATGCATGTCCGGTGTTTCCCGGCAGATGCTCTTCTGATGAACCTGCAGCACGCCTACACTGCTGGCATTCAATCATTGATCACTAACCTGGGTGCAGGGGTCACGAAGGGCACCCTCCTCCACAACATTGCACTCTGGGTTAAAAGTCAGCTGCTCACCACACCACTGACAGTCAAAAGGTCTTAAAAGGACTCATCTAATGGCCTTTAGATAAATGTGCTTTTTCCAAATGCTGTTACTTTTTTGTTTGGATAGCTGAAAGAATTGTTTGGGAACTTGTCTCAATCTCCTCTGTTACTAATGTCAGTCTGCAGCTTCTGGTTCAGGCTGTGGAAAGTCTGGCTCAGACCATCGCCTTGGCCCAGAAGACCAGCTGTCTCCTGTCTCAGTTTATCGTCTGTCTTAATCCTACTGAAGAGGAATGGAGTCGCATTAGATGGGCTCTGCTGCCTCAGGTACTCAGCCGGTCACAAATGACATTCACACAGGCCAAACAAGCCGACAGCAGATTTTGTGAGGAACCACTGGTTCAATATTTTGTTAAAATGGTATATAGAAGGTACTTAGAAGGTACTCATATGGCAAAAATATGCCATTTTAATGAATTATCTTTGTGCATCTCGGCAGTGGGTTAGACACCCTCTACTGTGTGGTCGTCTCAGAGTCACTGGTGAATACCCCTGCATGGACGTATGGAAGTTCAGGGCGACTAACCGGCTGCCAGCACACCTGTGTGTAAGTGCATTACTGGGCAGAATCATCTTCACTGCAACTTCACCTGATGACCAGCAGGTGGAGGCAGACTTCTCTGAAATTCCTGATCTCAAACACATAGGTGAGACACATTCATTCATATAGCTTTTGATAGCAGTGATCTTGTAAAATAATAATCATTGTTGCTTATGCATTACAAGTTCTAAAAGGATAATTGAGACTTCAGCTAAAACAATTGAGGAAAAAACACCTGAATTTTATTCAGAGACCCAAATTGAGCAAAACATACAATTTGGTGCAGATGCCAAAAAATAAGGTAAATTCTGATAGCTTGTAATGTAAATCAGTGTCTTATTAAAATTATTAAAATTGAAATGCTTAGTTTTATGATCAAAGCTCTGTAGTTTTTATTGTGTATTGTATTGTGTATCAAGACCTGAAATTATCATTGTTAAAATTACACTAAAACTTATTTGCTAATAAGGTATAAACTATAAATCAAAGAGTTGTTGAAGATGGTGTACAGCCATTTTTTTTTTGCCATCTTGATTTGGAGGCCTTATGAAATGTGTATCAAATATGATACAATATGCTTTATAGAGTTATAATAAAGTGTCATCAATATTTGTTTTAATGTAGTTTCAGAGATTTTCTATGGACTTCAGTGGTGTGAAGAAATGGAGCTGTCACCACTCGTGGTGTCTGAATATCACAAACTGCTGCAGTCCTGGAGTTTAGAGCAGAGAATCCACAACAGCAGCCTGATCAAAACCACTCTGTTAGACACAGTTTTCACAAGGTCGGCTCACTCATTTGGATTTTTTTCTTCTTCTCCAGAATATGCATTTTAATTATTAATGATCTAGCCCAGCTGGGGTTCTCAACTCTGGCCATTGAGGTCCACTTTCCTGCAGAGGAACCTTGATCAAACTTGCCTGCCAGTAACATTCTAGTAAACCTCACCTGCCTATAGCCTTAGTCATCCTGAAGACATCGATTAGCTTGTTCAGGTGTGTTTGATTAGGGTTGGAGCTAAACTCTGCAGGAAAGAGTTGAGAACCCCTGGTCTAGCCTATGTAAGGATGTAACGGTATGAAAATTTCTTACCACGATTATAGTGACCAAAATGATCACGGTTATCAGTATTATCACGGTATTGTTAAAATGTGCTGGAGATGTTCAAAAAAGTACTGACACATAAATCACTTCACCAAGTTATATATATAAAAATCAACAAAGAACAAATAAAATGAGTTTTTTTGTTTGCATAATCACTAAAACAATAACATTACCAATGATGTTCGGATTTTAAATGACAACTTGACGGACAACAGTTTAATAGCATGTTCAAATATCTAATGTAAATGTTCAAATAAAGCTTTTAAAAAGTTTAATAAAAAGGTAAATCTCACATTTCAGCCTTTAGATAAAGAAAAGGGTTAAGTCAAAATGATAATTTATTAATAAATGATTATATGTATTTTATCTGCTCCATAAATAATTCTCACACATGCTGAATGTAAATATAAGTCTCTGTAAATCCACTCGCTGACAGCAGGTGGCGCTTATGGAAAACTGAATTAGAGCTGTTTTCCGTAAACTGTGGACAAAGCAGTATTGCGATTAAGAACATTTCCTTTAGGTATTACATGGAGTGAAGATGAAAACAATGCCATCGAATCGTTTCTGAAGACAGTCAGAACCTTCAGAGGTACATTCATATAATTAATTCATTCATATATTCATTTGTATAATTCCCTTAGCACTCTTTTAAAACCTCCCAGCTTGTCCACCTTGTTTTCACTCAAAACGAAACTACTCTGCATGCTGTGTGCACGTGAGACTGTTACTTAAAACTGTGCTTTATGCTGGATAGTTTTTATTTGTCGTGAGTTGTTCAAATCGCGGTAATCCAATACGGTTTTAATGATAATTAAAAGATGAAACGGTAATACTAACCGTGGGGAATTTTATCATGATTTATCGTCAAACCGGTAATTGTTACATCCCTAAGCCTATGTATAGAATAGATGTCTTTTATTTTGTTTTTAATAAGCATAATTCATAGACCCTTTTATCCTTTTTAATCACAGGTCACAAGAAGAGGGCTCCCTCTGGTCACTAGCTCTGGCAAAATACATGCAGAACAGCAAAATGGAACCAAGCCACATTAAGGCCTTATATGGCAATGTAGAAAGGTAAGACATCCCCTCAAACACACTACATGTTGTTGTTTTTGAAAGAAGTCTCTTATGCTCACAAAGGCTGATTTTTTTTGTTCAGAAATACAGTTAAAAAAAACATAATATTGTGATATATTATTATAATTTAAAGTAAGTGTTTTTTATTCAAATTATTTTAGAATTTTCAGCATCATTACTCCAGACTTTAGTGTCACATGATCCTTCAGAAATCATTCTAATAAGCTGATTTGGTGCTCAAGAAACATTTATTGTTATAGATGTTGATTAATATTTTTGTACATTTGGTACATATTTTCAGGTTTCTTTCATTTACTTGAAATAGAAATCTTGCTGTCACTTTTGATCAATTGTGTGGTGTGGATGTGACCCTCCTCATGACCTGGAGGAATCTTTTTATACAGATACACATGATCACAATGTGCTTGTCATCAGCACAGCGTTTTGATGAGAAATGTCAGCCTAACCAGCGAGGTGATTGTGACTTTCCTGCTAATTCTGCGGCTCTTGTGTGTGTCAGTTTCTTTCCCCTCTCAGAACACAGTGTGAGCACGGTGCAGGTGCTATGTCCATTTCTAGCCAGTGAAGAGAGAGAATCCCTCATCGCCTTGTGTGTCGCAGAGCTCCTTAACTGGCAGGACAGAGAGCAGGACTGCATTGATGGTGAGATTCAAATCATATACACACACACCGCACATGATGAGTCATATAGGCTGAGCAACACTGATCTCACTCACTTAAGTGATGTGAAAAAATAATGTTGTGTGTGTAGGTGTGTGGGGCTGTCTGGCCGTGCTGCTCTGCTGTCTACAGGCCGACACGGCTGTGGAGGATGAGATCTTGTTGGCTGTCGTAGCCACGATTGCCGAATGGAGGACCAGTAGGGAGGAATGGTTCCTCTTCAACAGGTGAGACCGTGCCTCAGCTATGTGTATCTCTGTAATGAGGAAGACAGCAATGGCAGTCGTGTTTACTATGTCAGAGCCGTGGCCAAGATGCTCAAGTGGGTGATGCAGCTTTTGAGTCTGTCCCTTTTTGCTCTTTCCTCCACGCGCGTGCGTGTGTGTGCGTGTGCGTGTGCGTGTGCGCGTGTGTGTGTGTGTGTCAAAAATGTGAAGAAAAGTGAAAAAAAAAAAACATTTATAACATTTATAACAAGTTTATAACATTTTGACCAAAATGAATAAAAAAAATAACATTAATGCAGAAAAACAGAAAATGATCAAAATATTATTCCTATCCAATCTTTACTATATTTTCAAATAAAATATAAAATCAATAAGTAATACAAAATAACTATCATAATAGTTTAGGGCTGTTGCGGTGAAGGAATTTCCCTAACGGTAATTTTGAGTAGCCGAATAGCGTGATATGTAAGGGATAATGCGCATCCAGCCGGTTGTTATTGCAGAATAACCCCCGACAGGGTGGGGGGTTATTCAGCGATAACAACCGGCTGGATGTACATTATCCCGCTTATTACACGGCTACTTGCCACATAAGTAAATAATTAGACACGAAATATTGATTTGAGTTGAAATATTTGAACGCAATAAAGCTTCCGTGAAGAAAGCAGTTGCGAGCAGCGGCAAGTTCAAACTAGACAGACATTTAAGGGATACGGTGCAGTCAAACCACTTATTACACAACATTTCACCACATAAATAATTATGGCGATAAAAGATTTAAGACGAAAATGTTTTAAAATCTTACCAGTTCGTTAGTTATCTTATAATCCATTACAGTGTACAAAACAATCGTAGCAAAATGGCAGCAGTTGCATTTGTATGAAACGAGAGAGCGAGTCCGCGATACCAGGATGACATAATTAAATAATTGTACACAATTTTGAATCGAGTTTTAATATTTTATTAGCTAAACAAACGCAAAGCTTCCACCAAGAAAAAATCGTTCCTGGCAAGAGTATAGCGCCGACTTCAGTTACCCGGATCAGCCTGTGTTATTAGTTTTTACCGGTTGTTATCGAGGGATGACATACCTCGGAATGTCGCGACTGACCAATCAGAATCAAGTATTCCACAGAGCCGTGTAATAAGGAGTATTATCGCCATATATATAGTATACACGGTTGTGCACATACGTTTACATACGCCTTGCAGAATATGCAAAATGTTCATAATTTTAACAAAAGAAGAGGGATCATGAAAATTGCATATTATTTTACTACTGTCTTGAATGAGCTATTTCACCTAACGGATGTTTATATACTCCACAAGACAAAATAATAACTGAAATTGTAAAAATGACCCCGTTCAAAAGTTTACATACCCTTAAATCTTAATACTGTGTGTTATTTCCTGAATGATCCATGACTGTTTTTATGTTTTGTGATAGTTGTTCATGAGTCCCTTGTTTATCCTGAACAGTTCAACTGCTGTTCTTCTGAAAAATCCTCCTGCTCCTGCACATTCTTTGGTTTTCCAGCATCTTCTGCATATCTGAACCCTTTCCAACAGTAACTATGATTTTGAGATCCATCTTTTCAAACTGAGGACAATTGAGGGACTCATATATAACAATTACAAAAGGTCAAAACATTTACTGATTGATGCTCAAGAAGGCAACACGATGCATTAAGAGCTGGAGTTCTAGACACTTTCTAGACGGACTGTCAGTCAGTGCAATTACATTGTTACGCCACAAGGTGGCGGCAAGGGACTGTCTTTGAGTGAGTCTTTAAACCGTTCATTCAACTGCACGTTCAAAAATGCTGATTCATTCAAAGAGAGATGTAATGAACCACACTGTTGAAATAATTTTAACTCTATGGAGCCTCAGTACATATCAGCATGGTACACATTGTTATCATTACTAACTTATTTAATATTCAGTACACATGCACGAAGTGTAAAACGAGAAGGGTGTAACCTTACGAAAAAAGTAAACATGCAAATATCTTTTAGTAAGTAAAGTGTTTACTTAAAGGGTTAGTTCACCCCAAAATGAAAATTCTGGCATTAATTACTCACCCTCATGTCATTCCAAACCCGTAAGACCTTCGTTCATCTTCGGAACACGAATTAATATATTTTTGATGAAATGTGAGAGCTCTCAGACCCTGCATAGACAGCAACACAACTGTAATGTTCCCAGGTCCAGAAACACAGTAAGGACATCGATATAACAGTCAATGTGACATCAGTGACTCAACTTCAGTTTTGCGAAGCTACGAGAATACACTTTGAGCGCAAATAAAACGAAAATAACATAATTTATTTAACAATTCTTCTCTCCCGAGTTACGTCTTCCACCATTTTGGAGAGTACCCAAGAACATACCCCGTGTTTACTTGCTGCGGTTCTTGCATTCCTCTGTGGTTGGCTCGTCAATAGCGCGGTATTGCAATATTGCGGTTATCGTGACAGCCTTATAATAGCTATAATAACAAGCAATATGTCCTTTTTCAGTGACCTTGGAAAAGTTTCAGCCACATGGCTCTTATTGACTGTAGAAATTATGCGTTTCCTGTGCTGGATGGTGGATCATTCTCCTACAGTCTTGGGAAACACTCATTGGGATCTCCTGCTCTGCTCCATGCTGGCATGGCTTGAGGTGAGATTTCTCTCTCCGTCTTCATTCACACTGTTTGTATGCAGTAGACAGGCTCACAGAGACACTTTCCCTGTCCTTTTCAGAAATTTCCACCCCAGTGCACAATCGAATCTGCATTTTGAACTGATTTTATTTTAATACCAGGTGTAAATCATATCTGAAATGCTTTACACATATGGCTGATCTTATAAATAATCACACCTACTAGAACCGTGCTGCACACAGACGACGATCTAAGCGAATGTCTTTTTTAATCAGCGTGACATGTAATTGCGTTGTTTTCACAGACTGCCCGTGAGAACAGCAGGATGTTCTGGAACCCTTGGGTACAGCTGTTTGTGTGTGCAAACTGTGACCTGATTGTGAGGCTGAGTGAGTTTTTCACGTCGCCCCCTGCTGGTGTGGAGGAACAGCTTCCTCCAGAGCTGAACTCTGAGTGGAAGGAGTTCTTTTTGGAGGGAATTCACAACCTTCTGCTCCCACTGCTTATTAAAATCCCCGGTGAGTCGACTTGACAAGAACCTTCATGTTTGGTTTGTGGTTTAATTATTATTATTTTTTTTTATATCTACACTACTGTTTAAAAGTTCGGGTTCAGTAAGTTGTTTCTTGTTTTTAAAAGAAGTCTTAAAATGTAATTTAATAATCTGATAGTAAAGCTGAATTTCACATTTTTCACACGATCCTTCAGAAATCATTCTAATATGCTGATTTGATGCTTAAGAAACATTCCTTCTTATCAATGTTGAAAACAGTCGTGCTGCTTAATATTTTAGTGTAAACCCTGACATTTAAAAAAATCTTGCCAACCTTAAACTTTTGAACAATAGTGTATATGTAAATGTTTCAAAACATGCCATCTAAAAAAAGAAAAGAAATAAAAAGTGTGTTTGGCTGTTGTGCTAGTGCTTTAAAGGGGATGCATTTAAAAACACAACTTATAAGAGAAGGTTTGACCTTCAAACGGCTAAAGCACAGCATACTACTGTGGAAAAAAAATCCTGTTAATTAAAAAAAAAAAAATAAATTCACCTGTTGTTGCCAGAAATTCACATAAAAAAAAATGACTGTTACAATGTTTCAAGTATTACAGGATGGCATATTGGTGCATATATATATTTTTTATAACTTTTAACAGTATTTTTTATTAAATTATATGATATTAATATACCACTCTACCTGAACTATTGAAATCTGCTTTTTACCTTAAAATGTGCTGATAACCACCATAATAATACAGGTGGTAAAATAGAAAGAAAAGACAGGCTGTTCCATAAAACATGGGCAGTACTCAAATATAGATGGTGAAAAAGGCCATAAACACAAAAACAAAATGCCAACAGCACTAAATGCAGCATACATTAGCTAAATAACAAAATACCTTAATGATAACAAAAATAAAAAGTAAAAAATTATTTATATAAGATGTTACTATATAATTATACATAATGTCATGCAGCGACTACTGGAAATGTTCTTTTACTGTTTTAACCATAAATTGTATTGTATTTATAGTTTCTACAGTTGCAAAAACCACACATTTGTATTATTATATTATTTTATTGTATTGCATAGTAAAATTGCATATAAAGTGATTAAACAAGTAAACAATTAAGAAAACAAAAACAAACAATTAAGTTTTTCTACAGTAGCATTTTAAAATTTGTGTAAAAAATTACAAACATTTAAAAAAAATTTTTTAAATATTTTTAATAGTATAATTAAAGCTCAGCCACTAAACAAAACAAAAGCAAAAAAATCTATATGTAGAAACTATTCAAACTTAGTAATCATCTGTTTGCCCAAATGGCATTGTGACTCATCCCTAGTATTAACCTAGAAATCATTTTTATACTTGTATCCTTTATACTTTTGATATTTAATGGAAACATGATGTCTGGTGGTTAACACACTACTGAAATGTCAATCTTTTGTCTCAGTGGACTTTACAGAGCCAGATGATCCTTTGTTCCCCCTGGCGGTATTGAGGGCAGTGGGGGAGGCTCTTACCTACATCCCCGTGGAGCTGCTCACACAGAATAAACTCCCTCCTCGGTTTGTAGCTGACCAAAGGAGCAGTCTGCCAGAGCCCCTCCAGACCCTGCTGAATACCCTCTCACCCCTGCTGCTCTTCAAAGCCCGGCCGTTACAGCTCGCGGTCTACCACATCCTACACAAGTATAGACTCTGTTACCTTCTTTAACTCTTGCTTCACTCTGACTCCACACAATAGACATTTAAATGTGTCATATCATGGAAAACTTACTTTTTATTAAGGAATAGTTACCCAAAAATGAAAATTGAATTTTTTAAAATGAATTTTTAGCATTACATCACTTCTGCAGTGAATGGGTGCCGTCAAAATGAGAGTCCAAAGAGCTGATAAAAACATCACAATAATGCACAAGTAATCCATAGGACTCCAGTCCATTAATTAAGGTATTGTGAAGTGAAAAGCTGAGTGTTTGTAAAAAATCCATCAAGGAATTTTAACTTTAAGCCAAACCTTTTGGCCAAAATACCAGTCCATAATCCACAATAACGCTTCATCCAGTGAAAAAGTCTGTCCTATTTTGTCACCGCATCCACTGACAGTTTAGAACTGTTTTGGACTGTTTTTGCCTGTAAATGGTGCTTGATCTGTGCATATTTCTCTCCTGATTCAGACGAGATTACTTTTTCACTGGAAAAAGCAATATTATGGATAGAGGTCTTATATTTTAGCTGGAAGCAATGATTTGAAGTTAAAAACCGCTTAATGATGGATTTGTTTCTTAAAAACATGCAGCTTTTCACTTCACAAGGCATTAA